TCAGATTGTCTAATATTGGGTTCACTACACGCAGTTTTAGTATGTATTCTAATTTGTTTTACCTTTTTTCTATAATAATTAAGATTATTTTAGTTTGATAATTCTTTTTAGATTTTTCATTGGATTTGACCTTATATTCAACATTAAATTATTAATATACATAAATTTATGTCTATACACACAAATTTTAATTAAAATTTTTTTACATGCAACGTACATGTACAACAACTAGTACTCGCAAATATGATAGTTTATTTTGTACAGTAAAAAATAGTAAAAATAGTTATCATAACAGTAATAAAAGCAATTACAAATGTAATAATTTTTGGGTTATAAANAAATTTTACATGCAACACACATGTACAACAACTAGAACTCGTAAATATGATAGTTTATTTTGTACAGTAAAAAATAGTAAAAATAGTTATCATAACAGTNCGGACAAAGACTCGACAGTGAGGGATATGCAGAGACTATGATCGTTACGAGATATGCATACACTTCGATCCTTTGATTAGGAGGAGGCATAACAGGATTGGTCCTAGACCCAATTCATTAAAATAGTCACCTAAAGCCCCCAAAATTTAGGGCATCATTTAATTTTTAGATCATAGTTTATTTTCATGTTNTTTTTTTACATGCAACGTACATGTACAACAACTAGTACTCGCAAATATGATAGTTTATTTTGTACAGTAAAAAATAGTAAAAATAGTTATCATAACAGTAATAAAAGCAATTACAAATGTAATAATTTTTGGGTTATAAAAAAACCCATTAAATAATAAATTTTGAAATTGTGGTACCGAACTTTTTTTATCGGTACCATAATCAAATCCTTATGACATGTAACTAAGATTTGATATCAATAATGTTTTTTCATTAAGGTTCAAACCAAAAAAATTGCGATAAAAAAAACATAGCCAGAGTTCCCCTGCATCGAACAAGTCGTTTTCCCTTCCCAACTTCAATTAGGATATTTGGTGGCATAAACTAAGCGGACCAATTTGTGACTGTCGAGATATTCTCAAGAATTACATTTTTTTTTGTNTTGAGTCTTTGTCCTTATCTATAGCTCTCTCACTCTCCCTTGATCATCTAATCAATTCATTCATTTGTAATATCTTTTATATCAAATTTATTGTATAATCCGATCCAATCCTAAAATGAACAAAAAAAGTAAAATGTTCAAATTAAATCATACTGTAGCTCTCTATAAACTATTTAATAATTATAATTTTTTTACTATCTTTTAAAAATATTGATTGGGATCTCAAGTGAAATTCTCATTTTAGACTCTAATTTGTATTGGGTCGCGCTTGAGTTGGGTTATGGCCAGAGGAAGAGACAAATAATTTAGTTATATAAGGTTTCCGTTGATAACCTACTGTAGGGCATTCGTTGACCTGATACGATGGCGACCGAAGTTGGTCACATCTTTTTTTAATAATTACAAACTATTTAGATTTGTGGCTTTTATATTAGTCAGATTATACTTAACCGTAGTAATGTTGTTTAGTGATTTTTAGTTCATTTTTTATTTATAATGATAGTATTTACCTTGAATAACTTTTTTGAATTCAATAAGATAGTATTCACAATTAGAATGTAAATTTGAATGAATAGTATTCACAATTAGAATGTAAACTTGAATAATAGTAGTAATGCATAACATACGTTGCACGTGAATATATTTAAATATTAATTTTTTATAAACATTTTAAATTATTTATATAATATAATTAAATAATAAATTATGATTTGAATAATTAATTCTCATTTTAATTATTTACTTATTCAATTCATCTTTGAGTATCTAAACTTTTAATTTTTTAGGTATCTCTCCGACTACTTTAGACATTCCTTTTTTGTTTATAGTAAAATTTTATTTGTCATTTATTTGTATATTTTAATATATTAAATATTTATTATATTTTTTTCCAAAGATATTAATTAAATTATAAAATATTATTTTTATTATAATATTATGATATTGTTACATATAAAAAAATTAAATATGATATATATTTGACAATAAAAGCCAATTTGACAACTACATGTATATAATAATCAATATATTACTAATAACAATACCTTAAGATGAAAAAATTTTGAATCTATTTTACACTTATAAAGGATTGTAAAGATCATTCTATCATTTCATAATTAAATATCTAAATTACTATCATCCTTATGTCTTTAAATCTTCAAATTATCGATAACATCTATTTTAATTATTTAATTAGTTTTTATAAAAACAATTGATTGATTATATTACCCTTAAAAAATATGCATCATTATATTTTCAATAAAATATTCAAAAATTCCGTCAATCTAATATTATTTATCTTATATGCAAATATAATATTATGTCTGTATATGTGCATTTGTTTTCATCGAAAAGTTTAACCCTTCATATATATAATTTTTTTTAAATTAATTTGCATTACGTGAGTACAATTCTTTAATCACAATAAACATTTCAAATTGTATTAAGATTTTATACAAAAATAGATATTGTAGTATATTTTTAAGTAAAACTTAAATTTTTTAGATTTTTAATATGCTTGATAAAATATATTATAGGGTAGTATATTAAATCTTATCCTAATTGACCTAACTAATTCCTAATTATAGTAAAATTTCAATGTGATTAGTATATTGACAATTATTATGTTTTTATTCAAAGAATTATAAGTGGAATCCTAATCAAATAAAATTCAAACAATTTAATTCTCAAACATCACTAAAAAATAATCTCAATTACAAAATTCTAAACAATATAACTTTAACTATTTCTTTTTTTTAATCATTTTAGTCAATCTGATAACTATTTGTATATAATAATGAAATGTAATTGCGTTCAAAAGAATTTAGAAGTCAAATGCTCCTTATAAAAGAGTCTAATAGAACATAAAGGTCAAATAGGGATAAAAAATAAAAATTGAATGAAAATAAATGTGGTAGAATTGACATTATAATAATAATTAGGATAAATTAAGAAATCAAAATTTTTTCACATTTATAAGTAGTATAGATATGGTAATATTTAATTAAATTATCTTAGACTTTTAAGAGATGTAATAAATTTTTATTATGAAAATTTGTTTACATGCAATGCCGCATTACGTAATAATAATAATAATTATCTCATTACAATAAACTTAGATTTTTAGAAGCCTAACGATATGGTTTTATTAGAACTATTATATCAACATCTAGTTGCANTAATGCATTATTATTATTATTAATAGAGTAATGTTATTTGAATCTAAAAATCTGGCCTAACGATATGGTTTTATTAGAACTATTATATCAACATCTAGTTGCAATGTTTGATGAGGTTCATAAGTCATAATGAATTAGATCAACAAATTATATCAATAAATTAGGTGTCAATAACATTGTTATTATCAAAATTGTGTTGATCCTCATAATATTGAAAAAATATTCATTGCAATGATGATATCACGTCAGCATTACCACTTGATATCACAAACTAATAATATGCTAACAAAAAAGGAAGTGAATCCCACAAAAGTCAATAACTACCCGATAACTACCATATTTTATTCCATGTAAACTAATAACTAATTGAGTGAAATTCACTTTGGCCATTTAGAGTTTTATTATTAGTTATTGGAGTAAATATTGAATGCAACAGTGATACCATGTCACCACTAATGACATGATATCACTAACCAATAGTAAAATTCTACATGGATAAAGTGAACCCCACTTGGACTTATATGACATGTTAATTATCAATTTTTGTAGGGTCTATTTGTTTATTTATTTTAATATTATTGATTGGTGATACCACATCACTTTGTCATGTGGTAACACCGATGTAACGAATATTTTCTCTAAGTATTGATATCATGTCATCAATACTAACATGGTATACTGACCCCACCCGAAAGCAAAATTGTAGGGTACGTTTAAAACTTTTATTAAAGAAAAATGCTACATAATTCAAATGAAACCTAAAAATTAAAACTCAAATGAATATCATCCATTTGATGAGTGTGAGATGAGTGGATCCTACTGAAAAATTGATGGGATTCACTCATCCAAGGATGATATGCATTTGAATTATAATTTTTGAGATTTTATTTAAGTTTTTGTAACATTACTCTTTATTAAAATAGTATTATTTTAACTTTTCTGTTACAATTGTTTGTAACCTTAAATATTCATCCTGCTCTGTATCACTCTTTGAATTTTGTTCTGTTTCACGGTGATTTTTGGTGCAACTTATTTCTTATCCATCCCGGGTTTTTTTCATGTATTTGGCTCACCCTTGACTAGAAAGGTGCGGAAGATCTCTGGCTTTTGGTCTCCCTATGTCTTTCTTTATTATGTAGGTTCCATTTTATACCCTTTAATCAAGACTCTACATTCATTCAAACATGATTTAAAGTATCAGTTGGTATCGATACAAGTTGATCGAGTCATATTTGACTCTACACCCTCTGAGATAATACCATTACTCGCACGACTTAACCAAATTGTATCCAAGCCAATTTGGAGTTGTCAAGTTATCGTCACCGGATCGACTGATACAATTCCATAATATTGCAGTATGACTAGAATTTTTTGTCATATTAAACATTTTCATTTAAGTTATATCGGGCGATACGATACCGCGACCGATGTGTCTTTGAGCTGAGTCGATGGTTGAAACTGCGATTTTGAATTATTTATTCAAATGACTTATTCCTTTTCGGGCGCCAGAATTATTCAATACACATTTATATATAACAAAATACAGAATATAACCTAGAAGAACGATGAGAAATTTCATAACTACATTATAAATTTAATTACAACTCTGATCGAATCAGTCAAATACTCCATAGTTTTTTTCCCTGGTTCAAACTTTTCGACTCCAACGCTTAAAGAAAAAGAACCAAAAAAGGATTTGGAGTATTGTCCCAACAAAGCTCTTTTGTCACCCTAACCGTTGAGCTAAAAACAAAAACTCGTCTATCAACAACCTAGCTAGTCCTTTCTTGAAATTCATTCACTTTAGCCCCTGGTTTAGTGGCATCGATGAGAAATTGTCCACTTCGCTCCACACCCATAACAAAAATTGTTTCTGCATCTGCAAAAGATCAAAAAAGTAGAATTAGATCGACAATATCACTTATTTAGATAAATAACAAAAAGATGGACTCTCGTTATGAAATTTACGTAAGATCACACAAATATAGTCTTACGTCACAGGCGTAAATACAGAGTTAGAAAAAGTGTAATTAAATCACAACCAAGCTTAACCTGCATGTAATGTGCAAACAACCATCAACCTTCTCCACGTAAAACTTGCAGTGAGGGCATCTCCTCCATTGCTTGTTCTTAGCAAGTTCCATCAGCATCATGTCTTCCCTTCCTCTCTCATCCTTGTTCAACTTCTGAAACTTCCCACATTCCATACCTGCATGCCATGAAACTTTGCATTGTGCACAGAACAGTCTTCTGCAATTCGGACATTCAGACATAGTCACAACCTCCCCTCCATCATCCACCAACAAAGCCGAACAATCCTTGAAAGGACAATAATATTTTTGCGAACCAAGGATTACAGACTCGCACAATGTGTTCTCCCATCGATCAAACACTTCTTTTGGAACAATGGGTCGACACAAATCGGGTTCTATAATACCTTTACAGTTGGTGTCTGGACATTTAACATTGTAAATATTTTCCTGTATCTTTGCTGCAACATATTTGCTGATGTAATCTGCACAGAAAGAGTGTGTGCAAGCTTTGTTCCTGAATATCTCTCCTGCTGGTTTTGTATCCAAGCAAATTGCACAGAAGCCCTGTGAAGATTCGCCGATAACAGTCTTTCTAACATTCCGATTTTGGATGAAGTGTTCTATGATCTTCTCTGATGATACATTTTGAATTCTGGAAGAGATGACTGAGGAAATGAGAGCCTCTTGCAACTGTATTTCTTCTGCATATTTTTCATCTGAAATAGGAAAAAGTTCCTCCTGATCATAGAGAGCTGAGAAGTAAAAATCGTCAACGTAGGGAATAGTGGTTCTTGAAGTCCCTGCCATTCTCTCTCTCTCTCTCTCTACACAACCTTGCACAAGTGTAACAGATTGTTATGAGTTTGGGAACGAGTCACAGGCTTGTGAACGGGCAAGGAACATGGGACAACCTTGCGAGGTCGACCTATTTTGGTACAGTAAGATACTTTCAGGGATCCTTGGCCTCCTTGTAGGGAATTCGAGTTTTCAGAGTTACAAAATAATAATAATCACTGCCCTTTATCCATAGTTTTGACTCTATAAATAGAGGTTACGGAACCAATTTAAAATATACTTGATAAACTAAGGAGACTATAGATATGATAACTCTCCTAACTACCTGAGATAACATGCCTATCCCAAGCAACTGTTATCAGATTAATATAAATCATAACTGACTCCTATATAGGGTAAAAGTCGTCTTATTGAATCAAAATAACATTCCTACAATAAAGGACATGCTTTGGCTGTACCACNTATAAATAGAGGTTACGGAACCAATTTAAAATATACTTGATAAACTAAGGAGACTACAGATATGATAACTCTCCTAACTACCTGAGATAACATGCCTATCCCAAGCAACTGTTATCAGATTAATATAAATCATAACTGACTCCTATATAGGGTAAAAGTCGTCTTATTGAATCAAAATAACATTCCTACAATAAAGGACATGCTTTGGCTGTACCACATATGAACTATGTAACGTTTCTGTGTTCTAGAGTAATACTTATAGAATAGATGTCCTGTGGAATCTGGAGGGTTTATCCTAGTTTCGATACAATCATCAGAATCAAAGCGTATTGTACCACTTTCCAAACAAATTCCTCATGTCTGCCTCAAGAATATCAAAGGCCTGCCTTTTGTTCTATTCAATGAATTTTTTATTTTTTTTGAGAGACTATTCAATGAATTTGATGGAAAACGAACAGTAATGTTTTACCAAGTTNAATCATCAGAATCAAAGCGTATTGTACCACTTTCCAAACAAATTCCTCATGTCTGCGTCAAGAATATCAAAGGCCTGCCTTTTGTTCTATTCAATGAAATTTTTTTTTTTTTTTGAGAGACTATTCAATGAATTTGATGGAAAACGAACAGTAATGTTTTACCAAGTTTTTTTTTATCAAATTTTCATCTCAAGTGATATAGCACAATATTTAATGATATGGGACCCCACTTATTTGATCATTAAATATTAATATGACCCACTTATTTTATGGTAAAAATTATGCAACATCACTTGGAATAGAATACTTGCANTATCAAATTTTCATCTCAAGTGATATAGCACAATATTTAATGATATGGGACCCCACTTATTTGATCATTAAATATTAATAGGACCCATTTATTTGATGGTAAAAATTATGCAACATCACTTGGAATAGAAAACTTGAAAAAAAATATTATTCAACGTAGCATTGTTGAAAAGGAAAACAAGAATGCCTATAAATAGACTTACTCCAGCAATGCAACAGACCTCTGTTTCACCCACCACTAACATTTTGTATTTGTTCGTAGACTTGGGTAATTCTTTGTCCTTTTTTTTTGGTTGGGTGGTGATGGAGTGGTCCCCTGGGGTGGGGTTGGTTTTTTTTCTTTTTTTTTTG